GAAATTGAAGAAACAGTTAAAGAAGCAAAATTAACAAAAAAGAAAAACGAAGAAAAATATAAAATTGTAACTAAAAAAAAACAAAAAGAAGAAAGTAAACCAAACACCAATATTTCAAAATTCAGGAAAATAACAGAAAATAATAATATAGAAGAGGATGAAAAAGATAATGAACTAAACATATGTTATATTAAAGAAAATGAAAATGAAGGATTATTTGTAACAAAAATTGAGCTAAATCAAGTTGTATTTACCGCATTAATTGATACAGGCGTTAATGCATCATTTATAAATAGTGAAATTGTAAAAAGAAATAAATGGAAAACTATCAAAATAGACAATAAAAAGTGTAATACTGCAACGGGATCACAAAATATTAATGAAATGATAGAATGTGAATTGAATTTTAATGAATTTGAAGTAAAATAAGTTTCATAGTAATAGAGAAATTAAAATATGAAATGATTTTAGGAAGTGATATTCTAAAACTATTGGGTATCAATATAAACTATGAAGAAAAAGAAGTAACAACAAAATATGGTGAATTAAAAATTGAATATGAAAATAAAGATGAAGTAAAAATGATTAACGAAATAATGTTAGAAGGAAAGGAAATAAAGGATATAAAAGTGAAGTCACCAAAATTTGGGTTATTAAAGAAAGAATGTTCTAAATATTTACTTTGTGACTACATATTAGAAAAAGGGGAAAATGTGATTACTATTGCAAACATAGAAAATAATATGAAACAAATTACAAATGAAGAAATAGTTGGAAAAATAACTAATATAAAGAAAGGAGAAATTATTTATAATGAAAATAAAAATGAAAATATAATTGACATATGTGATAATTTTGATCTAAAAGATAAAGTAAATGAAATATTGAAAAAATATGATGAAAAAATAGATCCCAAAAAATCAATACCGGAAGAGTTAATATTATATAAATTAAAACTCAAGGAAGAAAACCAAGAATCAAAATACAAAAGAAATTTTAAAATGAATCCATTAAAAGACAAGATTTTAAGAGAAATAGCAGAAAAATTAGAAAGAAAGTGATTGGAACTCACCTGCTTTGGTAATACCAAAAGCAAAAGGAAAACACAGATTAGTAATAGCTTATAATTATATAAACGAATTATTTGTAAAAGAAATTACACCACCTTCACTTATTACAAAAGTAATAGATAATTTAAGAGAAGCTAAATATTTTACAACTATTGATTTAACTGATGGTTATTACCAAATTGCCTTACATCCGAATAGTCGTAAAATAACTGCTTTCACAGCTGGAAAAATAAAATATGAATTCAATAGATTACCACAAGGATTAGTAAATGCACCATCTATTTTCCAAAAAATAATGAATTGTATTTTAAATGAAGAAATTGGAGCCTTTACAACATGTTATATGTATGACATACTTATTTACAGTGAAACTAAAGAAGATCATTTATTACATTTGGAAAAAATATTTAAAAAATTAGGAGCTTTTAATTTAATAGTTAATAAGAAGAAAACAAAGATTGGTTATAATTATGCAAGTTATTTAGGATTTAAAATAAGTTATAAAAAAGTAGAGATTGATCCAGAAAGAATAGTGAGGTTGGAAAAATATAGTATATTAAAAACAAGGAAAGATATTGAAAGATTTTTAGGATTTATAAACTATTATAGAATGTTTATAAAGGATTTAAGTAAAAAAA